AACATTTTCCCTATGAATCATTTAGTCTTATAAGCAATATTGCATTAAATATAATAAAAGCCTAAATTAAAATTAAATACAATTTTTATTTAATTTTAATTAACTATAATTAAAATTAAATAACAACATAAGCCTAATCTGTTAATTATACATATGGTGTCGCTATCAATATTTACTAAAAAAAATTAAATTACCTTTGCAACATGTAAATAGTCACTTTGCAATATGCAAATTATTTTAGGTGATTTTAAATAGATTTTTGCTAGTTTAATTTAAATTTTTTTTGGCTAGATTAGTGGTAATAGATTCTAAGATTTTTTTGAGGTAATTTTATTCCTGTTTTTTTTAAAGTAATTCGCTTGGATTGGACAGGAGAGCAACGGGTTCCCTTCTTGCTGGTCGGGGTTCGATACCCTGTCCCTCATATCCTTCATATGGTATATATATTTATAGTGGCTTAGCACTCTCTGCATAATATCATACTGGCTTAGTGTTTATAAATGCGTTATCCTCATTTGTTTCACTAGACTGTTGTTGGTGGTTGCTGTGGCTTAAGCCTTACCAAGGGGTCTACGGTTGTTAGGTTACACCTTAACTGCTTGTTAGAGACCCCCCTTGTTACTATTCCTTCAGGATAGGTGAGGGGGGCAACGCCCCCTATCCCCCCTCTCTCTCTCTGTCTATCCTCCCTTTTATCAACGAATTGCAAGGGGGGCCGTTCACCCCTTTTTTTTAAACCTGTAACGAGCATGCTTCAAGTTGGTGCAAGGAAGCTGTTGGTGCATACCTGTTGCATCACCAGCCAGGGAGGGGGGGAGGAGAGGAGGTGTGTGTGTGTGCAATGAACACGGTTGCAGAGGTTGCAAGGAGTCGTATATGGCGTTCAAGACGTCTCAGCTACACCTGACTGCATACACACCTGACGTTTGAAGTTAATTAAAGCGGCCTTAGAGAGGAAGGAACAGAATGTTGCTTTCAAGGGTCGAGGTTCGAGAACTTAAGAATAGCCAGTAGAAGAGACTTAAATATTCTTAAATGTTCTTAGTTATATTAATGACTTGAACCCACGCCCATACATATACATATATATATATATATATATATATATATATATATATATATATATATATATATATATATATATATATATATATATATATATATATGTCGTACCTAGTAGCCAGAACGCACTTCTCAGCCTACTATGCAAGGCCCAATTTGCCTAATAAGCCAAGTTTCATGAATTAATTGTGTTTCGACTACCTAACCTACCTAACCTAACCTAACCTAACTTTTTCGGCTACCTAACCTAACCTATAAAGATAGGTTAGGTTAGGTTAGGTAGGGTTGGTTAGGTTCGGTCATATATCTACGTTAATTTTAACTCCAATAAAAAAAATTGACCTCATACATAATGAAATGGGTAGCTTTATCATTTCATAAGAAAAAAAAATAGAGAAAATATATTAATTCAGGGAAACTTGGCTTATTAGGCAAATCGGGCCTTGCATAGTAGGCCGAGAAGTGCATTCTGGATTCTAGGTACGACATAAATATATATATATATATATATATATATATATATATATATATATATATATATATATATATATATATATATATATATATATATATATATATATATATATCCATATATATGTGCAGAGATCGACATATCTATTTACATATCGTAAAAATAATTATTTTTTTTTGAATTAGTGAGTATGTGTGTATTCAATTATTTGTGTCTGCAGGATCGAGTTGAAGCTCCTGGGCCCCGCCTTTCCAGGCTCTGTTATCCAATAGCAGATCATAGTAGGGGTGAAGGGTGATTGATTAGCCAATCAAAATTTAGAGTGACCTTAGAATGCTTAGAATGTCTCTAACGCACTCAGTGAGGCTTTAAGACACTCAAAATACCTCTAACGTACTCAGCATCTCATCAAAGCACTCAGAATACCTCTTTAAAACATTCAGAATATCCCTTTAAAACACTCAGAATATCCCTTTAAAACACTCAGAATATCCCTTTAAAACACTCAGAATATCCCTTTAAAACACTCAGAATATCCCTTTAAAACATTCAGAATATCCCTTTAAAACACTCAGAATATCCCTTTAAAACACTCAGAATATCCCTTTAAAACACTCAGAATATCCCTTTAAAACATTCAGAACATCTCTTTAAACCACTCAGAATATCCCTTTAAACCACTCAGAATATCCCTTTAAACCACTCAGAATATCCCTTTAAAACACTCTGAATATCCCTTTAAACCACTCAGAATATCCCTTTAAACCACTCAGAATATCCCTTTAAAACACTTAGAATATCCCTTTAAAACACTCAGAATATCCCTTTAAACCACTCAGAATATCCCTTTAAACCACTCAGAATATCCCTTTAAACCACTCAGAATATCCCTTTAAAACACTCAGAATATCCCTTTAAACCACTCAGAATATCCCTTTAAAACACTTAGAATATCCCTTTAAAACACTCAGAATATCCCTTTAAACCACTCAGAATATCCCTTTAAACCACTCAGAATATCCCTTTAAACCACTCAGAATATCCCTTTAAACCACTGAGAATATCCTTTTAAAACACTCAGAATATCCCTTTAAAACATTCAGAACATCTCTTTAAACCACTCAGAATGCCTTAAAGACACTCAAAATGAATTAAAGACACTCAAAATGCCTTTAACACACTCAGAGCTTCCCCCCCCCCTCCTAACCCCTCGTGTCCCATCAGACCAACTTCCTGAGTGTAATGTAACTACCCCCCATTTAACCCCAATTTCCGCCTCCAGCCCCTATTAATTCTCCCCTCCTCCCCCCCCCCCTATAACCCCATTTCCCACTAGGGGTTTACAACCACGCGTATCTTCCCTGACCCCATTGTGACCCCAAGCCCTGACCCCCGTAGTGGGTTCGAATCCTGACCTGCCAAATAGTAACCTTGAACTCTGACCCGGTTGTACTCGCGTAAGTTCTGTAGGATGCGGTAGGTCCTTGAGACAGGGGGGGGGTCGTGGGGGGGGGGGTCGTGGGGGGGGGGGGGTTGTGGGAAAGGGGGGTGGGGGGGGGGTGGTAGAGAGAGAGACACACAATAGTCTGAACAATCCACCCTCTCAGCCAGTAGGTCGTGTTTTGTACGTTAAGGAACGTTACAAATGCAACCTACTATCAAAGGTAACGGCTCACGTTTATATATATGTTCCCGTTTTCTATGCATCGGACTCAATGGGTTAGGAGGGTTGCCCGGGTACCAATATGTCTGGTTAGGTTAGTAGGTTGGATTTTTGACGAAGTGGCGAGATGTTTGTAAGCCGCATTTAGCCTACATTTTGTGCAGGAGGCCTGCTCGGGGACCGGGCCGCGGGGACGATGAGCCCCGAGTATAGAAGGAGGAGTGTGAGGGAGGAAGTAGTGAGGAAAGGTAGGAGGGAGGAGGCCCGTCAAGTCGTGAGTGGTTGGGTAGTTAGAGAGGGGGTCAAGACTGGGGTCACGAGGGGTCACAAGGATGCTGGGGGAGCGCCCCGGGATGCTGGGACTGAGAGAGAGAGAGGAGATGCTGGAGACAAAGGAGGGAGCTAGGTGTGAACCCCACCACGCAGGTTCGAGTCCACCTCCTTACTCCAAAGATTTTCTGATAGATCTATCAAACTATTGTGGTTTCATAGCGTGTCCTCAATCTGAATTCTATAGAGGGCAAGCGAGAGAGAGAATGAGATAATAATTTACAACTGGAAAGTATTAGAGGGACATGAGACCAGAAGACATGGCAGGATGTGCAGAATACCCCCGTTGAAGAGCAGAGGTGCAACAGGTACTCTGAGAGAGAACTCTATCAACATCAGAGGCCCGAGACTGTTCAACACGCTTCCACTACACATAACTGGCCGACCCCTCACAGTGTTCAAGAGAGAACTATCAACATCAGAGGCCCCGAGACTGTTCAACACGCTTCCACTACACATAAGGGACATAACTGGCCGACCCCTCACAGTGTTCAAGAGAGAACTATCAACATCAGAGGCCCGAGACTGTTCAACACGCTTCCACTACACATAAGGGACATAACTGGCCCCGACCCCTCACAGTGTTCAAGAGAGAACTATCAACGTCAGGGGCCCGAGACTGTTCAACACGCTTCCACTACACATAACTGGCCGACCCCTCACAGTGTTCAAGAGAGAACTATCAACATCAGAGGCCCGAGACTGTTCAACACGCTTCCACTACACATAACTGGCCGACCCCTCACAGTGTTCAAGAGAGAACTATCAACATCAGAGGCCCGAGACTGTTCAACACGCTTCCACTACACATAAGGGACATTACTGGCCGACCCCTCACAGTGTTCAAGAGAGAACTATCAACATCAGAGGCCCGAGACTGTTCAACACGCTTCCACTACACATAAGGGACATAACTGGCCGACCCCTCACAGTGTTCAAGAGAGAACTATCAACATCAGAGGCCCGAGACTGTTCAACACGCTTCCACTACACATAAGGACATAACTGGCCGACCCCTCACAGTGTTCAAGAGAGAACTATCAACATCAGAGGCCCGAGACTGTTCAACACGCTTCCACTACACATAAGGGACATAACTGGCCGACCCCTCACAGTGTTCAAGAGAGAACTATCAACATCAGCTGAATCTATAACAATCAGATGAATCTCCGCCAATCAGTTGAATCTCTAACAATCAGATGATTCTCTGCCAATCAGCTGTGCCCCTAACAATCAACCGCTTCTCTGCCAATCAGGTGATTCACATGCCCCCTCACCCGGCGCCTGCTGATTGTCTGGGTAGCTCCTCTTATCCGACATCTGATTGTTTTTTCCATTCATTGGTACGTCTTATCAGAGGCGGCAGGTTACGGTGGCTTATCAGTTAAGTCTGTCTGTATTGTAGCGGGGCTGATAGCTGCTGGCATCATAGGTGCCGGCCCTACCTGCCCGGGGGGCATGGGTAGAGTGGGCATGGGGAGTGGGGGCATGGGGAGTGGGGGCATGGGTAGAGTGGGCATGGGGAGTGGGGGCATGGGGAGTGGGGGCATGGGGAGTGGGGGCATGGGGAGTGGGGGCATGGGGAGTGGGGGCATGGGGAGTGGGGGCATGGGGAGTGGGGGCATGGGTAGAGTGGGCATGGGGAGTGGGGGCATGGGGAGTGGGGGCATGGGTAGAGTGGGCATGGGGAGTGGGGGCATGGGGAGTGGGGGCATGGGGAGTGGGGGCATGGGGAGTGGGGGCATGGGGAGTGGGGGCATGGGGAGTGGGGGCATGGGTAGAGTGGGCATGGGGAGTGGGGGCATGGGGAGTGGGGGCATGGGGAGTGGGGGCATGGGGAGTGGGGGCATGGGGAGTGGGGGCATGGGTAGTGGGGGCATGGGTAGTGGGGGCATGGGTAGTGGGGGCATGGGTAGTGGGGGCATGGGGAGTGGGGGCATGGGGAGTGGGGGCATGGGGAGTGGGGGCATGGGGAGTGGGGGCATGGGGAGTGGGGGCATGGGGAGTGGGGGCATGGGGAGTGGGGGCATGGGGAGTGGGGGCATGGGTAGTGGGGGCATGGGGAGTGGGGGCATGGGGAGTGGGGGCATGGGGAGTGGGGGCATGGGGAGTGGGGGCATGGGGAGTGGGGGCATGGGGAGTGGGGGCATGGGTAGAGTGGGCATGGGGAGTGGGGGCATGGGGAGTGGGGGCATGGGTAGTGGGGGCATGGGTAGTGGGGGCATGGGGAGTGGGGGCATGGGGAGTGGGGGCATGGGGAGTGGGGGCATGGGGGAGTGGGGGGCATGGGTAGTGGGGGCATGGGGAGTGGGGGCATGGGGAGTGGGGGCATGGGGAGTGGGGGCATGGGGAGTGGGGGCATGGGGAGTGGGGGCATGGGGAGTGGGGGCATGGGGAGTGGGGGCATGGGTAGTGGGGGCATGGGTAGGGGAGTGGGGGCATGGGGAGTGGGGGCATGGGGAGTGGGGGCATGGGGAGTGGGGGCATGGGGAGTGGGGGCATGGGTAGTGGGGGCATGGGGGGAGGGGGGGCAATGGGGAGTGGGGGCATGGGGAGTGGGGGCATGGGGAGTGGGGGCATGGGGAGTGGGGGCTTCCTTTTGGTACCCACCACTCCTGCTGTGTTGTCCACGGTCGTGTATTAATCAGCTGTATTAATCAGCTGTATTAATCAGCTGTGTGTATTAATCAGCCGTATTAATCAGCTGTATTAATCAGCTGTGTGTATTAATCAGCTGGGTGTGTTAATCAGCTGTATTAATCAGCTGTATTAATCAGCTGTGTGTATTAATCAGCTGTATTAATCAGCTGTATTAATCAGCTGTGTGTATTAATCAGCTGGGTGTGTTAATCAGCTGTGTGTGTTAATCAGCTGTATTAATCAGCTGTATTAATCAGCTGTGTGTATTAATCAGCTGTATTAATCAGCTGGGTGTGTTAATCAGCTGTATTAATCAGCTGTATTAATCAGCTGGGTGTGTTAATCAGCTGTATTAATCAGCTGTGTGTATTAATCAGCTGGGTGTGTTAATCAGCTGTGTGTGTTAATCAGCTGTATTAATCAGCTGTATTAATCAGCTGTGTGTATTAATCAGCTGTATTAATCAGCTGTGTGTATTAATCAGCTGTGTGTGTTAATCAGCTGTGTGTGTTAATCAGCTGTATTAATCAGCTGTGTGTATTAATCAGCTGTGTGTGTTAATCAGCTGTATTAATCAGCTGTGTGTATTAATCAGCTGTGTGTATTAATCAGCTGTGTGTATTAATCAGCTGTGTGTGTTAATCAGCTGTATTAATCAGCTGTGTGTATTAATCAGCTGTGTGTGCTAATCAGCTGTATTAATCAGCTGTGTGTATTAATCAGCTGTGTGTGTTAATCAGCTGTATTAATCAGCTGTGTGTATTAATCAGCTGTGTGTATTAATCAGCTGTGTGTGTTAATCAGCTGTGTGTGTTAATCAGCTGTATTAATCAGCTGTGTGTATTAATCAGCTGTATTAATCAGCTGTATTAATCAGCTGTGCGTATTAATCAGCTGGGTGTGTTAATCAGCTGTGTGTATTAATCAGCTGGGTGTATCAATCAGCTGTGTATATCAATCAGCTGTGTATATCAATCAGCTGTGTGTATCAATCAGCTGTGTATATCAATCACCTGTGTATATCAATCAGCTGTGTATATCAATCAGCTGTGTGTATCAATCAGCTGTGTATATCAATCACCTGTTTATATCAATCAGCTGTGTATATCAATCAGCTGTGTGTATCAATCAGCTGTGTGTATCAATCAGCTGTGTATATCAATCACCTGTGTGTATCAATCAGCTGTGTATATCAATCAGCTGTGTGTATCAATCAGCTGTGTATATCAATCAGCTGTGTATAGCAATCAGCTGTGTATATCAATCAGCTGTGTGTATCAATCAGCTGTGTATATCAATCACCTGTGTATATCAATCAGCTGTGTGTATCAATCAGCTGTGTATAGCAATCACCTGTGTATATCAATCAGCTGTGTGTATCAATCAGCTGTGTGTATCAATCAGCTGTGTGTATCAATCAGCTGTGTATATCAATCAGCTGTGTATATCAATCAGCTGTGTATATCAATCAGCTGTGTATATCAATCAGCTGTGTGTATCAATCAGCTGTGTATATCAATCACCTGTGTGTATCAATCAGCTGTGTGTATCAATCAGCTGTGTGTATCAATCAGCTGTGTGTATCAATCAGCTGTGTGTATCAATCAGCTGTGTGTATCAATCAGCTGTGTGTATCAATCAGCTGTGTATATCAATCAGCTGTGTATATCAATCACCTGTGTATATCAATCAGCTGTGTATATCAATCACCTGTGTGTATCAATCAGCTGTGTGTATCAATCAGCTGTGTGTATCAATCAGCTGTGTGTATCAATCAGCTGTGTGTATCAATCAGCTGTGTATATCAATCAGCTGTGTGTATCAATCAGCTGTGTATATCAATCACCTGTGTGTATCAATCAGCTGTGTATATCAATCAGCTGTGTATAGCAATCAGCTGTGTATAGCAATCAGCTGTGAGTATCAATCAGCTGTGTATATGAATCAGCTGTGTGTATCAATCACCTGTGTGTATCAACCAACCAACGTGAGACTAACAGCAGGAGATGACGTTAACGACCAGGGTAGTCAGGTAACAACCCGGCCTCACAGTAGCACGTCGCATTTTGACGTACGCGCTAAGGCCAAAAACTGCCGTACGAGGAAATGAAATCGGCTGGCCAGAGTGACGCACCATTCCGTTTTCTGTTGTGGGTCCTCTGGTAGGTTAGGATCAAGAGGGAAGGGGGCACTTTAATACATCTGTTTCTTGACGTTTAGCGAGATAACCACAGGGTATAAAACAAGGGGACATCTGGCTTGTTATCGTGTTATCGTATATGTTATCACCTTTTGAGTGATGTTGCAAAGTGTGCAATGATCTTGAGGTTATCTTGAGATGATTTCGGGGCTTTTTAGTGTCCCCGCGGCCCGGTCCTCGACCAGGCCTCCACCCCCAGGAAGCAGCCCGTGACAGCTGACGAACCCCCAGGTACCTATTTTACTGCTAGGTAACAGGGGCATAGGGTGAAAGAAACTCTGCCCATTGTTTCTCGCCGGCGCCAGGGATCGAACCCAGGACCACAGGATCACAAGTCCCGCGTGCTGTCCACTCGGCCGACCGGCTCGTAACATTCTGGATATCTAGGAGTTTTCCTCCTCTCCAAGCCCGGCTTGGGTCAGGCTAGACTGTGTGAGAGCTTGGCCACTCTGGTCAAGCAGGCTGTTTGATGCGGCTGTTCGCAGCCTCACGTGAGACTAACAGCCTGGTTGGTCAGGTAATCTTTGCAACACAACACTCACTGTGTTGTGCTTGCAACTACCGTCCGGAGAGCCGGTCGGCCGAGCGGACAGCACGCTGGACTTATGATCCTGTGGTCCTGGGTTCGATCCCAGGCGCCGGCGAGAAACATTGGGCAGAGTTTCTTTCACCCTATGCCCCTGTTACCTAGCAGTAAAATAGGTACCTGGGTGTTAGTCAGCTGTCACGGGCTGCTTCCTGGGGGGTGGAGGCCTGGTCGAGGACCGGGCCGCGGGGACACTAAAAAGCCCCGAAATCATCTCAAGATAACCGTGGCTGGAACAACGCTGGAAGCTGTTAAGAGAGAACTGAGCCAGGTCGTGTACAACACTCCCCAATAGGAAGAAAACCCGCTGGCACCTGCGGGTTAGGGCGCCTCACAGCTGGGTGGTCAGCGCTTCGGATTCGTAGTCCTGAGGTTCCGGGTTCGATCCCCGGTGGAGGCGGAGACAAATGGGCAAAATGTTTCTTTCACCCTATGCCCCTGTTACCTAGCAGTAAATAGGTACCTGGGAGTTAGTCAGCTGCTACGGGCTGCTTCCTGGGGGGTGGAGGCCTGGTCGAGGACCGGGCCGCGGGGACACTAAGCCCCGAAATCATCTCAAGATCGTCGAGATCTTGTAATAGTCAACAGGTTAACCACATCGACACACACACCACAGGGAGGATTGACTAGGCACCAATCCATAACTATTCGTCCCCTTTCACCCAGCAGTAACTGGGTGCCTGGTTGTTAACCGCTTGACGGGTGAAGACAGCGGGTGTCCCCACTGACGCCAGCGGCCGCCATCTTGACCTTCAGGCACCCATACGCTGCCTTCCGCGGCAAGACAATGCCATATGGGCTCCGTCAATCATAAGACTCATCGCCGAAGCAGGAATCCACATCAATTTGGGCCTTATGAGGAGAGCCCGACTAGTGGAGAGGAGGAGGGTGACGGGGCAAGAGACGACTTAACAACACTGGCGCCTGAGCCATAAACTTAGCTTGGTATTTTGTATGTAAATAACATTTCCTTTTTTAGGAGGCATGTAAGCCTATGTAGGCCTCGTGCCTAAACACTTCTCCGGGGGGGGGGGGGCCAACGGTCTGGGGCATATATATTAAATACAAATAGTAAATGCACACATATGGGGCCTGGTGGCTGAGCGGAAAGCGCTTGGGATTCGTAATACTTAGGTACTGGGGATCTATCCCTGGCGATGGCGGGAACAAATGGGTAGAGTTTGTTTCACCCCTGATGCGCCTGTTCACCTAGCAGTAAATAGGTAGCTGGGAGTTAGACAGCTGTTATGGGCTGCTTCCTGGGGTGGAACGGGGGGTGGGGGTGAAAAAATCATTTGATTGATTGACAGTTGAGAGGCGGGCCGAAACAGCAGAGCTCAACCCCCGCAAGAACAAATAGGTGAATAAACACACACACATACAAGATACATATCCCCCCCCCCGATATACAAGAAAGGGGATAGACAGGAGGCACTGAACTACAGGCCAGTGTCCCTAACCTGCATACCATGCAAGCTGATGGAGAAGATTGTGCGAAGAAAGCTAGTGGAACATCTGGAGTGAAGGAACTTTGTAACACAGCATCAACGTGGGTTCAGGGATGGCAGGTCCTGCCTCACAGGGTTACTTGAATTCTACGACCAGGCAACAAAAATAAGGCAAGAAAGGGAAGGGTGGGCAGACTGCATATTTTTGGATTGTCAGAAAGCCTTTGATACAGTGCCACACAAGAGGCTAGTGAAAAAGTTGGAGATGCAGGCTGGAGTGAAAGGGAAGGTACTCCGTTGGATACAGGAGTACCTAAGCAACAGGAGACAACGAGTCAGTGTGAGGGGTGAGGTCTCAGATTGGCGAGACGTTACGAGTGGAGTACCGCAGGGGTCGGTCCTTGGGCCTATACTGTTTCTGTAAATGATCTCCCAGAGGGTATAGAATCGTTTCTCAATGTTTGCCGACGATGCAAAAATTATGAGGAGGATTGAAACAGAGGATGATAGTAGGAGGCTACAAGATGACCTAGATAGACTGAGTGAATGGTCCAACAAATGGCTGTTGAAGTTCAACCCAAGTAAATGCAAAGTAATGAAACTAGGCAGTGGAAACAGGAGGCCAGACACAGGATACAGAATAGGAGATGAAGTACTTAATGAAACGGACAGAGAGAAAGATCTAGGAGTTGATATCACACCAAACCTGTCTCCTGAAGCCCACATAAAAAGAATAACATCAGCGGCATATGCGAGGCTGGCTAACATCAGAACAGCGTTCAGGCACCTGTGTAAGGAATCATTCAGAATCTTGTACACCACATATGTAAGACCAATCCTGGAGTATGCGGCCCCAGCATGGAGCCCGTACCTTGTCAAGCACAAGACGAAGCTGGAAAAAGTTCAGAGGTATGCCACTAGACTAGTCCCAGAATTAAGGCATGAGTTACGAGGAAAGGCTGCGGGAAATGCACCTTACGACACTGGAAGACAGAAGAGTAAGGGGAGACATGATCACAACCTACAAAATCCTCAGGGGAATTGACAGGGTAGACAAGGATGGACTATTCAACACTGGCGGGACGCGAACAAGGGGACACAGGTGGAAACTGAGTACCCACATGAGCCACAGAGACGTTAGAAGGAACTTTTTCAGTGTCAGAGTAGTTAACGGATGGAATGCATTAGGCAGTGATGTGGTGGAGGCTGACTCCATACACAGTTTCAAGTGTAGATATGATAGAGCCCAGTAGGCTCAGGAACCTGTACACCAGTTGATTGACGGTTGAGAGGCGGGACCAAAGAGCCAGAGCTCAACCCCCGCAAGCTCAATACCTAGGAGAGTACACACACACACACACACACACACACACACACACACACACACACACACACACACACACACCCACACACCACACACACACACACACACACACACACACACACACTTATGTCGGGAGAATTGCCCAGTTGCTGGAAGAAGGCAAATGTCGTACCGATTTTCAAAAAGGGGGATAGGGAGGAGGCACTTAACTACAGACCCGTATCACTGACAAGCATCCCCTGCAAAATACTTGAAAGAATAATTAGGCTAAGACTTGTTGAGCACCTGGAGAGCATTGGGTTTGTAAACAAGCACCAACATGGGTTCTGGACAGGGAAATCATGCCTAACAACCTTTTAGAATTCTATGATAAAGTAACAAGGATAAGGCAGGACAGAGAAGGCTGGGCAGACTGCATATTTCTTGACTGCCAAAAGGCCTTTGATACGGTACCGCACATGAGACTGCTATACAAACTTGAGAGGCAGGCAGGAGTAAGCGGAAAGGCCCTAGTATGGGTGAAGAACTACCTAACAGGAAGGAGCCAGAGGGTAATGGTAAGGGGCGAAAAGTCGGACTGGCGAACAGTAACAAGTGGAGTACCTCAAGGATCGGTGCTGGGACCAATCCTCTTTCTAATTTACGTAAATGATATGTTTACAGGAGTGGAATCATACATGTCGATGTTTGCAGATGACGCAAAATTAATGAGAAGAGTTGTGACAGACGAGGATTGTAGGATCCTCCAAGAGGACTTAAACAGGCTGCAGAGATGGTCAGAGAAATGGCTACTGGAGTTTAACACCAGTAAATGTAAAGTTATGGAAATGGGATCAGGTGACAGGAGACCAAAGGGACAGTACACAATGAAGGGGAACAGCCTACCTGTAACGATTCGAGAAAGAGACCTGGGAGTGGATGTGACACCTAATCTAACTCCTGAGGCACATATAAATAGGATAACGACAGCAGCGTACTCTACACTGGCGAAAATTAGAACTTCATTCAGAAACCTAAATGAGGAAGCTTTTAGGGCGCTTTACACTGCCTACGTGAGACCCGTCTTAGAGTATGCCGCGCCATCATGGAGCCCCCACCTGAAGAAACACATAAAGAAACTGGAGAAGGTTCAGAGGTTTGCGACGAGGCTTGTCCCAGAGCTACGAGGGATGGATATGAAGAGCGGCTGAAGGAACTGAACCTTACGACACTAGAGAAAAGAAGGGAGAGAGGAGATATGATAGGGACATATAAAATACTCAGGGGAATTGACAAAGTGGAAATAGATCAAATGTTCACACGTAATAATAACAGAACGAGGGGACATGGGTGGAAACTGGAAACTCAGATGAGTCACAGAGATGTTAGGAAGTTTTCTTTTAGCGTGAGAGTAGTAGAAAAATGGAATGCACTTGGGGAACAGGTTGTGGAAGCAAATACTATTCATACTTTTAAAACTAGGTATGATAGGGAAATGGGACAGGAGTCATTGCTGTAAACAACCGATAGCTAGAAAGGCGGGATCCAAGAGTCAATGCTCGATCCTGCAAGCACATATAGGTGAGTACATATAGGTGAGTACACACACACACACACACACACACACACACACACACACACACACACACACACACACACACACACACACACACACACACACACACACACACACACACACACACTCATGGGGGACCCACCAAAATAGAGATGACCCCTCGCGTGGGCTGGTGGCTGCACTCTCATCCTCTCAAAGTCACGCCCTCGTCGCTGGGTTCCTAGCAAGACGTGCTACACCAGCTATGTTGCTGGGGTGGCTAGGACGCTCACTCTGGCACTCCTAGCAAGATGTGCTACGCTCCCCCTGTTGCTGGGGTGGCTAGGACGCCCACTCTGGCACTCCTAGCAAGATGTGCTACGCTCCCCCTGTTGCTGGGGTGGCTAGGACGCCCACTCTGGCACTCCTAGCAAGATGTGCTACGCTCCCCCTGTTGCTGGGGTGGCTAGGACGCTCACTCTGGCACTCCTAGCAAGATGTGCTACGCTCCCCCTGTTGCTGGGGTGGCTAGGACGCCCACTCTTGCACTCCTAGCAAGATGTGCTACGCTCCCCCTGTTGCTGGGGTGGCTAGGACGCTCACTCTGGCACTCCTAGCAAGATGTGCTACGCTACCCCTGTTGCTGGGGTGGCTAGGACGCCCACTCTGGCACTCCTAGCAAGATGTGCTACGCTACCCCTGTTGCTGGGGTGGCTAGGACGCTCACTCTGGCACTCCTAGCAAGATGTGCTACGCTCCCCCTGTTGCTGGGGTGGCTAGGACGCTCACTCTGGCACTCCTAGCAAGATGTGCTACGCTCTCCCTGTTGCTGGGGTAGCTAGGACGCCCACTCTGGCACTCCTAGCAAGATGTGCTACGCTCTCCCTGTTGCTGGGTGCCAGGACGGTCTTAGTTAACTTGTTCTCTCACAGCTGTTCTTCTGTTATCTTCAGGAGTTCTCGTTCTTCTATAACCCGAGTATGACGAGAGATCGTGGCTGGAATTCTGCGATTCACCAAGCACCTACACAACTACTTACGAAACCTGTACATCTTTCCTTACTCACGGTGGCTGTGTTTACAACAGTTTAAGAGCTGGTAAACTCTACAATGTTGTTATTATTATAAACAACCTCGTATAGTGCTTCGAGGATCATAACCTGTTTAATATATGTAAACACAGCTGCCATGATTGAAGAAAGATGTACGGGTTTCGTAAGGGTTGTGTAAATGCTTGATAAATCCCTGCCAACCCAGACAAGCAATAAGGAGAGTTTTTCAGCGTTAATTCTTACGTATAAATGGAATGACTTGAGATAATTGGAGCTAATTGAGTCTAACTTTAAAGACTCGTGAGTAGGTATAACGCGGACAAAACAGAGTAGTATAAAGCGGACAAAACAGAGTAGGTATAACACAGACAAAACAGAGTAGTTATAACACAGACAAAACAGAGTAGGTATAACACAGACAAAACAGAGTAGTTATAACACAGACAAAACAGAGTAGGTATAACACAGACAAAACAGAGTAGTTATAAAGCGGACAAAACAGAGTAGGTATAACACAGACAAAACAGAGTAGGTATAACACAGACAAAACAGAGTAGGTATAACACAGACAAAACAGAGTAGGTATAACACAGACAAAACAGAGTAGGTATAACACAGACAAAACAGAGTAGT